TTGAGATTGCCTAGGGGATTCCATGAAAAGCTAATTCGGACAAGCAAATGTGAACATTTCTTACATGAGATTTTGATTAGTAAGAAATTAATATAAATATATATCTGAATTCACTTTTCTTTGTACTTAAAGTTTGATTTTTCTCGTCTCAATTTAGTTCATGGTTGCAAAATGATGATTCAAAGAGACTAGATTTAATACCAACTAGCTATTAGTCTGGTGTTATATCTCTTTTCAATGTTAGAAGTTACCAAAATTCGAGTACGCCTCCCTATTGATTAAAAGAAAAAAAGAAAGAAAAAAGAATTGCTCATTGCTCCACAGGACAAAACATGGTTAGCTGGTAGACTTGGCAAACTGGTAGTGTTTGTCGCGTTGGTGTCAATCCACTTTTCTTAACAAATTAACACAACACAACCCGTTGAGTTAACGAGGTGAAAAATAACAAACACGAATATGAGCCGTTAAAATAATGAATAACACAACGACTCATTTCACACGTTAAGGATAAAAAAATAAACTTGGCAAACTGGTAGTGTTTGTTATGTTTGTGTCAACCCACTTTTCTTAACAAATTAACACAACACAAACCATTAAGTTAACGAGGTGAAAAATAACAAACACGAATATGAGCCGTTAAAATAATGAATAACACGACGACTCATTTCACACATTAAGGATAAAAAAATAAACTTGGCAAACTGGTAGTGTTTGTTATGTTTGTGTCAACCCACTTTTCTTAACAAATTAACACAACACAAACCATTAAGTTAACGAGGTGAAAAATAACAAACACGAATATGAGCCGTTAAAATAATGAATAACACAACGACTCATTTCACACGTTAAGGATAAAAAAAATAAAAAAGTAAAAATCAACTAGATAAGAGTTGGGGGGGGGGGGGGGGGGGGGGAGGAGGAGGAGAAGAGATAATGAGAAAAAAGTAAAAAGTAAAATAGAAAGATATATAAAATTGCAAAACTACCCTTATTCTTAATGGGTGATAACGAATATTCACAAATTCACACGACATAACCTGTTAGCTTAATGAGTCCGCACATTTTCAACACGACTCGTTAAGCATTGACCCAAATACTGTTTTTTTTTTTGTGCAAATTCGTGTCGTGTTAACGGGTCGTGTACAATATTGCCATGTCTAGCTGGTGGAGTTGCAAGTTTAAGTTTCTCTCTTGACACTCCAAAATAGTCATCATGTACTTCAAAATAGACCTAACCTTGAATGCAATTAAGAATAAGTGCTCTTAACCACTTGTCCTAGTTTGTTTATTATATTTAACAATCAAAATTTTGAATTCTAAGTAACTGATGCTAATATAGTTTTCTCATATATTTGAAGTCATACTCAATCTCATTTATTTCTACAGATTAAGCACTTGTCACATTTATAAAATTAGAAAAAGCTTTTGATGATGGTTTTGTATTGTCGTCCCAATAATGTTAATTTTGAGTCATGGGTCTCTATACATGTGAATACTTTACCAAAATAAATGAAGAAGTTCATAGTACACTCAAATTTAACTATATTAAATTAGTAATGTAAACACACCCACTTTTTTTTCCCAATTCTTTTTCCTCACTCTCTCGCATTATGTGAGACTCAGAGAATTGTGAAACTATGTAGGGTCCATTCTATATGAGAAAATTGAGATAAGAGTTGGCTTATATAGCACTACTTATACTTATATAAAAACTCAAAAAAAAAAAAAAAATACAAAACAAAACACCATTCCATTTAAAATGACGAATATGGTAATATATTAAACCAAATAATTATATTATATCCAACAAAATTTCTCGTTTTAAATTTTTACTTTTTTATACTAGTTTTTGTTTAAACTTTTAGAAGAAGGAATTCAACATTGTATATAATTCTTAAATGACAGAATTGAGATCTCCATCGTTTAAATTTCTAGCAATTATTAATTTCAATGTTTGAATTTATGTATGTCGCATTTTGTAAATGTCATAAATTACAGTGAAAAACGAATTTCTGCTCAATAGAAATGACGCATTCTTTGGCAGAAATTAAACTCAGGAATCTACATTCCCAATTTTCACGATTTTTTAATAAGTTATATGCTTGCTTAAGTTGCCAAACAAAGAAAATATCAATTTCTCCTCTTTAATTTCCAACTTTTAGCCAAATTCCGATTTATTTTCCTCCATCCAAATGGGGTAAATGAAGTTTAGAAAAATTTCTTATAAATAAATAAATCATAGTAACCTTAATTAGTAATGGTAAAGTGAAATTCACAGTAGTGGGCCTATTCAGTAACAGTTGAAGAACAAATGAAACGACTCGTTAGCAAAAGTGCGCTCGAAAACGGCATAGTAGCAAGAGCTTCTTTTGTTTTTCTGGTCAGAAGCAGAGCTTCAGACCTGCAAGAGACAAAAGACAAAAACAAGAAACGAAACGGCAAAAGCAAAAGCAGACCAGAAAAGCGAGCCAAAGAAAGAAGGGAACTCTGATTTTCTGAGAGAAAGGTGACGGACGAATCGTGCGGTGGAGGTGATGGAGTTCAAGTCGTACAAGGACGACGCCTGGTACGACGTGCGCATAGAGATGGAGAGCAACGGCGACAGTGGCGGCAATGGCCGGAGACTGAGGGTCAAATTCTCGGGGTTCGCCGATGAACACGACGAGGTCGTCGACGGCAAGGACTTGAAGTCGTTTAAAGACGTCGACTTTTTGAGGTGCCGGTTCAGGCCCATGTCGGTTCAGCTTCAGGACACAGAGTGTTCTCAGGTGCACAAGGGCTTGAGCGTCTGCGCCGCGCACTCGGCTTATCCCGATGATCGGCGCTTCTACGACGCCGTTGTGGACGGGGTTAGCTGCTTCATTTCCTCTCTCTCTCTCTCTCTCTCTCT